AGATAAGCCATGGTTGCACCCAGGGTTTGTAGCGGGTTCCTTAGGCAGATCTAGGGTTCAACGCAAGCCCAAGGTCCTTCCTGAAGGTTCGGAGGTTCCAACTAAGGCTGTTGATGACCTTCCTGGAGGTGTCTCTGACTTGCTTGCTTCAGCCCTACCAGGATCAGCAGTGCCCGAGGATGCCGCAGAATACAGCCCCTCTCAGATTGCTGGATCAGATCCTGATGACTCTGATAGCGNNTGACTGGAGATGAGCTAATTTCTGCCAACAACTCCCCCGAACCCGTGCAACCCGTGTCTTCTCCTGAACCCTTGTGTGTGCCGCCTACAACAACTGCCCATCATCCTGAGGCACCTTCTGCAAGTGTAGGAGCTTCAGTTGACATGGACACCTCATTGCCACCACCACTCGAACATCATCCACCTGCCATTGATCAGGAAGCATCAGGCCCCGAGCCGAAGCGTGCCCGCGTGTCTGCAGTTGTGTGTGGGATTGAGTACCACCATGCAGATGAAGCTTTCGAGCCTATGATCCTCCCGGAAGATATGGATGGTCTTGATGACCTTGAGCATTCAGGCTATGACAGTGAAGATGAGGAAGATAATTCAAACTTGCCTCCTGAGGAGTTGTATCGTCCCTTCTCCCTGTCAGAGCCCTTGCTGAGTGCTGAAGAGCTGCAAGCTCTTGACAAGCTGGCTGAAGACCATGAGGTCAGCCGTCTCAAGGCCATGAGCATACTCAGTCAGGAGGGTGTTGATGAAGCAGGGTGCAAGTTCCTGACGACAAAATTTGTCATCACCTGGCGTCCCAAGCCACACCCTGTGACTGGTGTTGCAGTCTGGCTGCGAAGAGCGCGCTTAGTAGCCCGCGAGTTCAAGTTCCAAGACCCTCTGCGAGAAGGTTTGTACTCTCCAGCTTCTCAAACCCTGCTTGTCAAACTCCTCCCTGGTTTGAGGATGTCAAGAGACCCCACCACATGGGCTCTCATGGCATGCGACATTTCAGATGCATACCTCACCTGTCAGCAACC